TGGCCTAAACCTGCTACTCAAAAAATATTTGTTGAATGATTTGATGGCCTTGACTAGCTGCTTAATTCCTTTGAGCCTCAGTTTTCTCTTCTGTAAGATTGTGACAGCACAGGCCATGCAGGGTTGCACGCAGTATATTATGTAGCTAGCACATTATCCCCTGCGTGCGCCATAGCACTGCAGACAGTCCAGGCAAGGGGCAGCTCTTAGGAAACGCCAGGCAATTCATTCAGGGACATGCAGTTCTATTCACTGACACCAGGTGGCAGTAGTAGTCTTCAGGCCGAGAGTTCTCAAAATTCCATCCTGATAGGCGGCTTCCGAATTTAACTTTCTAAACAATTATCTGGCCAGCAGCTAGCGTGGTGGTTAAGGCACTGGATCCCACATGGCCGACTCTGTGATCAGTCTCAGACCTAGAGTTCTGAAAACATGCTGGGTACGTGGTTGTGTGCCCCAAATCTTGAGAGTGGAGGAAAAGGGATTATGGCATGGTCATCCCCCTGGAAGGGTGATTTCTTTCTTTTTTGGAGAGGTTTTTGCTATAGGGCACGTGTGCTCACCAGAAAGACAGAGAGAGACAGAGAGATAGAAAGCGAGAAATCACCCCCCAGGGGGGATGGCCACGCCGCAATCCCTTCTTCATTCTCCTCTCGGGATCTTGGGCACGCATGCACACACGCCCGGCGTGAGTTTAAGCCACCGGGTCCGGGACTTGAACCGTGGTCAACTACATGAGAGTCCAGTGACATAGCCATTACGCTAACTGCTGGTCCCTGGAGGGGTGATTTCTCACTTTCTCTCTCTCCTTGACTCTATTCTCTTTATTGCTCTCCAGAGGGCACACACACCCTATGGCAAAAAAAAAAAAAAAAAGAAAATTATCAGCCCATTCCAGACCTACAGAATCAAAAGTTGCATGTTGGGACCAGCAGTTAGTGTAATGGCTATGTCGCTGGACTCCCAAGTAGTCGACTGTGGTTCGCATCCCAGACCCGGTGGCTTAAAACTCACGCCGGGCGTGTGTGCGTGCATGCCCAAGATCCTGAGAGGAGAATGGAGGAGAAGGGATTGCGGTGTGGCCATCCCCCCGGGGGGGTGATTTCTCGCTTTCTGTCTCTTTGTCTCTGTATGGCGAGCGCACGTGCCCTATAGCAAAAACCTCTAAAAAAAAAAATAAAAAGTTGTATGTTGGCAAGATCTCCAGGGTACTGTGTACACATTATAGTTTGAGAAGCACTTAGCTGTCATATGTGTCTTTCTTAGTACCTAAAATAAACTTAAAACAAAAATCAGTAACTAGATATATGGTTTCTATTAGTGACAAAAGGAAAAAAGAAGCAAATTAAGAACCAAGATGTAAATAAATATATATAGCCATTAAGAGCATGAGACTGAGGGCCCAGCAGATGGCGTAATGGTTACATCACTGGACTCCCACATGGGTGACCGCAGTTCAGATTCTGGACCTGGTGACTTAAAGCTCATGCCAGGCACATGTGCGTGCATGCCCAAAATTCCAGGAGGAAAATGGAGGAGAAGGGATTGCGGCATATTTTGGGCCTCAATTCCCTCTCTCCCTCAATTTCTCACTCACTAGAAATGCTTTGCTCTGCTCTCAGCTGTAAATAGTTGACCAGTTTCTTGGAGCTGGGAGAGGGAGGTAGGAAGGTAGGGCTGGATCGGATACAGTCCTGGCTTGGGATGGGGCCAGCTAGTTACAGCTGTTTGGTTGGTAGTTACAGTGGAATCCATGTCCCAGAGGAGGAGGTCGTAGTCCGAGGCCGGGCTGTCCTGTTCGGTTGCAGTGGGGCCACCCCACTGCAGGACTCTAGGGCACCTCTGTGTTTCAGGACCCGCTCTCTTCTCGGTGCTGCTTGTGCTGCTGGTGTTGGTGGTTGGCCTCTTCTTCCTCCTGTGCTACTGGAGGCCCTGCAGGAAGCAGATCCGGCAGAGTGAGTGAATGAACCCTCAGGGCCTGGGGGTCGGGCTGCTCTCTCCACCTGCCCTGCTCCCTGGGGGAGCAGCTCCAACCCTTCCCTGCTGTCGTTTCAGAGCTCCACCTGTGCTACCCAGGCCAGACCTTCCGGCCCAGGCCGACACCTGCAGGTAAGTGGCCAGTAGTCCAGAGGGGCTGCCAGGGCCAGGTGGACATGCAACGGCCCGGCTCAGCCTCGGCCTCGGTCTTGGCCTCAGGGCTCCCTCTGCATGGCTTCCCACAGGTTGCTCTTGCTCTGTTGCCAGCCTCGTGTGTAAGGGCACACCGTGAGTGACCATGGCATGGCCAGCCCTGTATGGCGGTCAGATGCAGAGCTGACGCGGAGGCTCGAAGCCCATCGTGTCTTTCACTCCTTCCTCCACAGTGTCCAGGGAAGGGCATTCTGATCACCTTCCTGCCTCTCCTCTTCCCATTCCCCCTTCTTCTCTCCTTCCTCCTTTTTCTTCTTCCTGGCAAATCTGTGGAAGGGCAGGGCAGTCAGGCTGGAATCGTCCCACTTACAGGCCTTGTGACCTTGGGCAAGTGACTTGATTCCTCTGTGTCTCAGTTTTGTCATCTGTAAAATGGGGACAGCGGAACCTACTGCAGAGGTGTGGTGTGGCTTACTGGAGACGGGGCCAGCGAAGCCTGTGAGTGGTCTGCCTTGGTAGCACTGGCTGCCCCTGGGAGGCAGGCAGCCCGTGTCTGGGCACTTTCTCCTCATCAGGAGTGCCAGGCCTTTCTGAGTTCTAGGTGGCTTGGAACAACCCTGGTCCTTGTTCTCTGATTGCCCAGCCTTCCGGGCAAACTTCTGGAGCCCCTGACCCTCCTGACGTGTCCAGACAGGGGACGGGTCTCTTCGAAATGGCACCTGATAGGGAGGGAGTCCACAGCAATCTGGTGCCAAGTGTCTTCTCTCCTGCAAAGCAGGGCAGGGCCTTCCTCGTACTCCACAAGCACGAATTGAGCACCCACCATGTACTGGGCCTCCCTCCCATAGAGGGGCCAGTGCCTCTGCCCCCATCCCAAGTTTCCTTCCTTTGGAGAAGGCAAGGCCAGAGAGCCGGATGACTGCCCAGGGCCCCAGAGCCTGCAGGGTGCCAAGCCAGACTCAGGTGTGGGTCCTCAGGGGAGAGGGTTGCTCAGCTGCAGTCCCTGGGCTCCTGTCTGTGAATGGCTCAGCCCTGACCCCCTCCCTCCGTCCTCCCCGGCGCTGCCCGTCAGAGCCCAGCCAACAGCACAGCCTCTTGAGACCAGGTCATTGTCCCTGTCCCAAGGTCTCCCTAGACCCTGAGAGACCCTTGCAACGGGCTGACTGTTGACTTGGGTGCAGAAACAGTCCACTGAGGCCTGTTTTGACTTTGGTGAGTTTCACAAGCCAGCGCCTGTGTTCCCTTTGCGAGGGGGTTTTTGTGTTCTGAAGGTTTCAAGCCTGTTTCCGTGAGCTGTCAGGCTCAGTGTCTCATTGAAACCCGCACTTGCTTTCTTGACATTTTTCTAGTAGTAGAATTTCCATTGCCGTCAGTTTATTTTTTTCTTCAAACCTTTGTGAAAACAGTTTTGTGACAAAAAGAAAAAAGAGAGAGAGAGAAAAGTAACTTCCCTTAAAAAAGCCAGCCTACAAGGACCTGAGCCCTGAGCCCCAGGGGTGGACATTGCGTCTCAGGTCGTCTCTGGCCCTCTGGTTTCCATGGCTCCTTAGGGTCTGGGTTCCTAGATCTGAGATGGAAGGAAAATGAAGCCAGGAAGGGAAAGAATTCAGGGTGCAGAGTGGGAAGGAACGGAGAAAGGGGGACGCCCGTTTCCTCCGCACAGTGGATGGTGGGGGCCCGAGGAGCATCCATCCGTCCCTTCATTTAGCCTTCTGTTCACACTGACACCGTCCTCCCAGAGCCCTTCCTGGTACCGGGTCTGTACTGGGTACAGAAACTGTCCCAGCCCTCCCAAGCTCTCAGACCAGTGTCATCTGCTCAGAGGGACTCAGGGGGAGGCCCAGCTGTGATGGTGCCAGTGGGAGGGTGCCGCTGAGAGGTGGCTGAGGCTACATGGAAGACCTGGGTTCAGTTCCCAGCTCCACCTAAATAGGCCGGGTGCACAGGTGTTAGCTAGTCTGTGGTCCTAGCTAACTAGGAGCATGGTGACATAGCAAGGCCTTGTCAAAAATACGTCCCCACCACCTCTGGTGATCTCTCTCATTAAATAATAAAAGGGGGTTGGCTACAATGAGCAGCATGGGAATGTGCCCCCGACCCCCAGACCACTTGGCAGGGGGCTTTGTGGGCATGGAGCACACCAGGGATGTGAGATCCGGGCAGTGGGGCAGGTGCTCATCAGCTGTGTGAAGTGGATTTGGCTTCACCGTGTGTGTCTGTGGTGCCAGGCTTTGGCACAGCACACGCATGGTCTCACAGCGAGGCCAGACAAGCAGCCTGCGCACACAAAGTGACTGTTTTAACACGCGGTAGGGCTAGGGTTTTGTGCTGTTGAGTTTCTCTAAGAAGAGGGTCTCACCCTTGGCTCTGTGGACGTCTGGGGATGGAGCTGTCATGGGCATTGCAGGATTGAGCAGCCCAGCCCATCAGATGCCAGGGGCACTCCCAGGTTGTGACACCCCAAAATGCCTCCAGACCTTGCCCAATAGCCTCCGGGGAAAAAACTACTTCTGCTTGAGAACTGCTGGTCTAAACGTCCTTTCATCCTTCATTTTAATTTGATTTTATCTGTTATTTCAGGCAGATTTAGGTTGAAAAAAAAAAATCTGTTTTGTTTTGAAACAATTGCAAGCTTACGGGCGCGCTGCAGTACAGTAGGAAGAACTTATTTTTTCCGGAACCATCTGAGAGTAACTTACTCATTGATGCCTTATCACGCCCGAGAGCTTGAGTGTGGGTCTCATAAACAAGGATGTGTTTTCACACGACCCGCAGTAGCAGCATCAGAATCCGGGAATTCCCACTGGTGCATGGTCACCAGCGTGTGCTCAGGCCCTGCTCAGGTTTCTGTATTTGTCCCAATAACGTCCTTGACAGCAGAAGGATCCAGTTTAGACCCACATGCTGCAGTAGCTGTCTGGCCTCCCGAATCTCCCCCGGTCTGGGTCAGTTCTCGCCTTCCCCTTCACTTCACGGCTTTGACACTTGAGAAAAGTACAGGTCAGAAATCTGACACCCCTCATTTAGGGTCGGTCTGGTGCTTCCTTAGGGGATCCGGCTCATGCATGTTTGGCCAGAAGGTCCCAGCAGTGATGCTGGGCTCCTCTCAGGGCATCCTGCCAGCTTCCCTCCGTCCCTCCCTGGCTCTGAGCACTGTGAGCACCAGACTGGGGGGTGATGCTGCCAGGCTTCTCCACTGCGAAGCTGCTCTTTCCTCCTTGGTGACTGCTAAGTATTTTGGGGGAGGTACTTTGAGACTATCAATAACCTATTCCTTTTTTTTTTTTTTAAGAATGATTTTATTTAACTTATTTATTTATTTTTAATTTGATCAGAAAGGGACAGAGTGAGAGAGAAAGTGAGAAAGCAAGCCGCCAGTTCTGAGACTCGAACCGTGGTCAGCCAGGTGGGAGTCCAGTGCCCTTAACTACCATACCACCTGCCGGCCCCAATAAACCATTCTTCATCAGACTTTCCTTTTCTTCATTTTCATTTTTGTACTGGTATGAACTCCTGGATTACTGTTCTGTTCACTGGATTATAATCTGTTACCGTTATTATTTCTTTTGATTCTCAAATTGTCCCAGATTAGGTCAGTGGGAGTTCTTTCTTCCTTTTTGTAAGAATTAATTTAATTTAATTTATTATTATTAGTTTTAATTTGCTATAGGGCTCACCAGAGAGAGAGAGACAGACAGACAGACAGAGAGTGCGCATGGGACAGAACGCGCCATCGCGGCTGGGCCTGGGCACTTTTTTACTCTAAGATGTTTCTGGTTTATCTCGTACCCTCCTGCCCTAGCCCTGGAATCCTGCCGGCTCCCCAAGGAGCCCAGGTTTGAACCTAGGGATGCCTATGGGCAAGGTCTGGCTGAACCTCCCTGCCAGATTCCTTCCCTGAGCCTGTTCTGCTTCCCACAGCAGCAGGGAGTCCCAGGCCAGAGAGGGAGGGGGCTGAAGGGGAGAAGATGGGCATGGAGGGAACTGAGCGTCCTAAACCCTGTGTCAGAACTCACGTGCCCAGAAGCTTGGCCTTCAGAGCAGCCTGGGGTACGGCGCTGTTGTCCGGGGGGGCGCCGCCACTGCCAGCGTGTTCTTGGACTCCTATCCTGGGGTGCCAGACAAGTTTATGAGAAGATGATAGTTATTCCCAAAACCAAGGAAACTAATAAATGCAAACATCAGACTGAAGCAACATTTTTAGGGGAAAAGCACTTACGAAATCTGACCTCTGTACTTGGCAAGAGTTGTTCTGGTCTTTATCAAAGTACTCATGGGCTGCATTAGGTTGTCGGGAAAGTCATGATGTATTTCTCCACGTTTTTCTAGGCAAAAATGTGTCACGACTCTCCTGACAACCTTATAGCATGGCTGCAGGCCGATGTGGAGCCTTCCTGATTCAGCCTTCTTACCTTACGTTATTTCACACTCGTTTCTGGGAGTCAGTATCAAATGCTGCTTTTCTTCTCAGTGTGTCAAGCCATGCTAACATCTTAGGCTTTTCCAAGACCTACTATGTGCACCTTTCCTTTTTAATAGCTTAATTAAGAATTCTAAGTAGGCTTTCGTTTTTCAGTTGTCAGTGGGTGCTTGCACTTGCCAGAGAGAGACAGAGACAGGGAGAACCCACCTCTGTCAATACGGCGTGCTCACACCAGCTGGGATGGGTGCAGTGGGAGGGTGCCGCTGAGAGGTGGCTGAGGCTGCGTGGAAGACCTGGGTTCAGTTCCCAGCTCCACCTAAATAGGCCGGGTGCACAGGTGTTAGCTAGTCTGTGGTCCTAGCTAACTAGGAGCATGGTGACATAGCAAGGCCTTGTCAAAAATACGTCCCCACCACCTCTGGTGATCTCTCTCATTAAATAATAAAAGGGGGTTGGCTACAATGAGCAGCATGGGAATGTGCCCCCGACCCCCAGACCACTTGGCAGGGGGCTTTGTGGGCATGGAGCACACCAGGGATGTGAGATCCGGGCAGTG